GTCCAGGGGGTCCTGCATAGCCAGGCGCTGCGCACCAGCAGCGGTGGCCGGGCCGAGCTGGGTAGCTCATGCGCTGTGTACACTGGGGGCGGGCCCATACATGCGCCCTGCGCCCAGGGTGGCGCTGCATGCCTGAGGCCCGGGGCACCAAAATGGCTCGGGCACCAAGCGGGAGGTGTGCCAGGGACAACAGAGGTAGTGCAGGCTTCCTGTGGGGTAGTGGGGAGTTCTGCAGCTGCGCACCAAGGCCCAGAAGTGCACGGGCTGTTCTTCCCTCCTCCCTAAACAGCCAGCATAGTACCTAAAACGCCAGTCCATCACGTGCTGGGGACTTTGTTTCCCTGCTGCCTTCCTGCGTGCAAGGGGGAAGGGGAGGGGGGGGGGATGGGGAGCGGAGGACCAAGACGCGCACGGCCCAAGCAGCTGGAACTGGCGTGGTCCGGGACTCCCACTGCCCCACCTCTCTCCCCTGCACAGGAAGGCAGCAAGGTAAGAAAATCCCCGGCACGTGACGGACCGGCGTTTCAGGTACTGCACCGCTGTTTGGGGAATGGGGGAGCAGCCTGGGCCTTGGCGCACAGCTGCAGGATCCCCAGGTACCAGTCCCTGTCCCCTCCCTCCGCCCAGACCCCCACAAGTACCCTGTCCCCTGCCCCAGCACCCACTGGCACTCTGTGTGCTGCCTCAGCACCATACCCCAACACCCCTGTTCCCTACCCCAGCACTCATTGGCACCCTTTCCCAGCACCCTGTCCTTTGCCCCAGCACCCACTGGCACCCTGTCCCCTGCCCCAGTACCCTGTCCCATGCCCCAGCACCCACCAGCATCCTGTTCCCTGCCACAGCACCCTGTCCCCTGCCCCCACCAGCACAGCTGGTGGCTTGAGGAGTCTGGAGGTGTTGTGATTTTGTCTGTGGCAAATCTGGGCATTCATCCGGCTTGCTTGGCCCCAACTGACTTTTCTGTGGGTCAGTGACCCCTGACTCAAAACCTTTTGTGTTTGACATAATATTTTATTTAAAAATGAAGCCTGGCCAACAAGCCCCCAATTGGGGCCAAGCTCTCATCTGGTTGCAGCATCATAACGCTGCTGTACTGCCTCCAACCCCAAACCTGAACCTGGAACCCCCTGTCCTGAGCGCCTCACATCTCCAAACTCCAGCACCCCCGCATCCTCGGTCCTCTGCCACAACACTCCTGCACCATCCACACACCTCAAATCTGTGTCCGGAGCCCATCACACTCCCAGCCTCCCTGCCCTGAGCCCCTCACACACTCCAGTGCAAACTCCTGCACCCTCACAGCCAGGAGCGGCCCGAGGCCAGCCACAGCAGCTGGCGCCCCAGGCGGAAGGTGCAATCGGCCCCCCCGCCTACACGGCCATCAATGGCCATGACATCATCATCAGGCACCCGGGCCAGCGGTGCCCTAGGCAACTCCCTAGTCTGCCTAGGTTCACGGGTCACCCCTGCTCACATCCACAAGACTGTGGCTTGCTAGCCCAACCCTCCACCTGAGCCCAACACTCCCCAGCCTGGAGCCCCCTCCCTGAGCCAGCAGCCCCTTCTCCTGCATCCAAATTCCCTCCCAGAGCTTGTACTTCTCACCCCTTCCCAACCTCAAATCCCTCATTCCCACCCCAGAGCCTACATCTCCTCTCTCAACCCAGCGAGGGTCTGGCTAGACTGCAAGAATTTTTCCGGCAAACACGCTCTTTTGGCAGCCTCTGTATCCCTCATTCCACAAGGAATAATTGGGCTTCCAAAAGAAGGGATTTTTTCCAACATTTGGCCCAGTCTAGACAGGCCAAATGTCGGAAAACTCTTCCCACAGAAGGATTGAAAAAAGGGGCAGTGTAGCTGTTCCCTGAGAGTGTATCAGGGCTGGGGATAGCAAGTGATGGAGAGAAGGGGGACAGAGAGGGCGGGGCCACAAGGAAAGGGGTGGGGCCTTGGGGAAGGGATGGGTCGTCCTGACATTTAAAAAGTGATCTTGGGTGTAAAAAGATTGGAGACCACTGGCCTAAGCTAATACAACAGAGCACAGAGCAAAAAGGTGACCCACCTAAGGATGAGATGTTTTTTAAAACGGATTGAAATGTCTACCTGGTATTGTGTCCCCTGGCAGACCGGGTGAACTGAACAGGCCAGGCCAGGCCAGCTGCAGTCCCATAAGGGGAACATTTGAGGACTAGTCTATCATTGTACTGGGCTTCGGGGCAGGGCGTGGATACCAGCGCTGTAACATTCCCAGTTTGAACCCTGGGAAACCTCCCAACACTCCACTCAGTCAAGATTTAGATAAGTATCTGCCTGAGGCTTAATGGATTCGAGTACAAGGGATCTCTCTAATACCTATTCTTCTTTTAAACCCAGGTCTGCAGAGGGGGAACATCAAAGCGACACAGTTGAGGGAGTTTCTGGGGAAGAAGAACACACCGAGATGGACGAAGTGGCGCAGAAACTCACTGAAACGGGGCTGAGTTCACAGTACTGGCTGCCCAAGCTACAAGCTAAACTTGGGGTGACCAGTCTCCAGGCGTTGGAACACCTGAGCTATGACGACTTCCTCCAGCTGGAGAGCGAGGCACGGTACCCGTGGGAAAAGCCGGCCTTAAAAAAGCTATGTAACCTCGCCGACAGCAAGAGCGTGAGGAAGCAGCTGCAGGAGGAGCGCATGGAGGTGGGAGGCGAGGGGCAGGAGCGGGCTAAGTTGACGCAGTGGGAGCTAAAAGCGATGCAGAAGAAAGGCAGAAGTGGCTGCGAGGAAGTTGTAAAGAAGAAAGAGGAAGCACGGCAGGAAGCGATGGACATAACCCCAGAGGACTGGTCTCCCTCTCCGAGAACTTCCAACGAGAATGTGCACAAGGAATTAAGCCTCTCCGAGGAGTCTCCCTGCCGAGGAAGTTGTGAGACGGGCGTCGGGGGGGCTGGCCCTGCAGGGCATTTACAAAACCAAGCAGCTTGCCGAGATGGTGGAGAAGCGCGAGCAGCTCCTAGAGCTCCCAGACGGGTTGGAGCTCCTTGGCCCAGAGCAAGGGCCCTTGTCTGAGACGAAGGAGTTTTCATCGGACGCAGCAGAGTCCATGTTCACACGGACCATGGAAACACTGGGCTACAGCCTGAGCCTCGCGGCCACAGGTGGGTTTGGGGGGTTTAGTGCGGAAACCAGCTCAGATTGCAGCAAATCTGAAAGCACACCCAAGTCCTGCTCTGAATCCACCTACATTTGTATCACTCAGTACAACCACTGCCCACTGGCCTCCTGCTACTTCCCCAAGGACCGGCTCCGACTTTCCAGCGCCGCGCTGCAGGAGTTAAAAGAGTTTGAGCGACGTTTGAGTGACACCCCAGAGCCCGACAAGTTCCCTGTGCTGAAGAGCCTGGGCAGGCGATTCTTCAACCAATTCGGGTCTCACGTAACCCAGGGCCCCCTTCACTTGGGCGGGATATTCTGGTGGAAAGCGGCGTCACAGGGATTCCGGGCAGAGCAACTGAAGGAGGTGAAGAAACGCACATCGGAGGCGCTTGGCTCTTACGTCTGGGGCAGCCGTGGTGGCTTTGGCTGCGGTGCTGCAGGAAGCGTTGATGTATCAACACCAGATGCCAAAACATCCCTTCAGGGCACTGACACAAAACCCTTCCAACCAGAGATCCAGCTGTCCATGGCCAAGACGGGCGGCCCAGCAGGAGTGGAGTCACTTGTGGCATGGAAAGAGAGCCTGCTGGCCAGTAACAAGACCTGGTCTGTGATTGACAGAGGCTCTCAGCTGACTCCAGTGTGGGACATAATCCTGGCCAATCACAGACAAGATTTTAAAGATGTTTATCAAATGGGCAGTGGCCTCACGAGGGCCTATGAAGCCCTAACAAACCTAAGTGTCAGCCCATTGGCCGGGGAGGGAACCGTCAATGCAGCGGATGAGGCCAGATCCTTCCTAGAGGAGGTGAAGACCTGGGAAGTCACGGGGGAGGAGGGGCAGCTGGTGACGCTGCTCAAGTTCAAAGAGCAGCTAATGGAAAAAACAAACCACGACAGGACCTGGATCGACATCTGCCTGTCGGACCGAGGGCTGCAGGATTTCCTGGCAAACACAGTTCTCCGGTGCAAAGATTTACCCGCGCAAGAGACAATGCCCACCAAGTCTCTGCTGCGCTGCCTTCTGGACCCTCACGTCTATTCGGTTAAGAACTTCCCCCAGTCTTCCTCCATCATGCAGTGGCTCTTCCATGCTGAAGAGAAGCCGGAAAAAGCTCCCCCTGTTTCTGAATGGGCTGATTTTATTCAAGTCCTTCAGAAAACAAAGAATTCCATACGGGCCGTTACCTCCACGCCTGCGTCCTCCCCAGCGGCCGTGAAGGAAGCAAAGGCGAAGGCCAGTGTGAGTGTGAGCTTAGCTTTGGGTTCCCTCCGGAAGGCTCTACAGGACCACGAGCAGACAGACATCGAGCTGTTATTGCTCTCCGTTGCCACCAGCACAGGCTACTGTGTGGACAGCAACACTTTTCCGTATCTCCTCGGGTGCCCACAAATTAACTTCATGTCAAAGGAAATGCAACGAGCACACAAGAGGTATTTGACGCTTAAACCTCAGAATGTTTGCCAGGCTCAGGCTTTCCTGCTGTTGACTGGCCTGACAGTGACGCCCACAGAATCCAAAGACGTGTCCCCCGAAGAGAAGAGCAAGCGTTTGACTTTTATGAAACATCACATGGGCAACTCCCTGTCCGCGGATGTTATAACCCTCCTTAAAAATCACAATGAACATAACGACTGGAAAGCTTTAGAAACTAACTTGAATTCCCTTATACAAGGGGTCTGTGAAGACACAAATGCCAATCTGCAGGCACAGGAGAAGACAAAAGAAGCAAACAATATTGGTCAAAGAACTAAACCAGTAGAGTTACCAAAATCAGAACCCGAAGAAATGCAGTCCACTAAGACACATGGTTCTGGTGAAACCCAGGAGTTTCTAAGTTTGATCCAGCGCCTTGGACTTGAAAACTACTATCCAAGGAAAATGGCAAAAGCTGATTTCCATGTAATCAACCAGATTTCTTTTCAGGAGAACCAGCCTTGCACGGAGAGAGAGCTTCCGCTTTATTTTTTGCAAAAATTGTTGATGCTGGACTATAGAGCAAGGAGTCTGGTTTGCAAGGACGACAGCAAAACCAAAGAAGGTTCAAATACACTGAACCCCACAGTCAGCGCGAACAAATCTTTAGATATTCTGGATGATCTTTTTAATAGTGGCAGTGAAGAAGTTAGTGAATCTGCCACAAGCCAGACACGTGTGCACCCAATGGACGTCCAGATGGCAATTTTTCACTGTGCAGACGACTTCATGAGACAATACCTTTCCACAAAACTCGCTTTATGCCAGTTTGCTCTCCCACTTCTGGTGCCAAATCCTTGTACCTCTCAAATAGAATTCCCACTGTGGTCCTTTTGCCAGGTTAAGAAGAACTGGACGAGTCATGAGAAACACAATGAGGTGACTCAGGTTAAGAAATGCAAAGACAAATGGGTGTATCAAGCAAGGACACCAGTGGTGTCTTTCATAAGACTGGGAATATCTTCATCTTCTAAGTCTCAGCTCTTAAATACATTACTGAGCAAGCAAAAGTATAACATTTTTTTTCACCGTCACTGCAGAGGCAGCATCAGAGGAGGCCTCTTGATGAAAGGTGTCATAGAAATCACCTGGTACTGTCCAGGCGGGAAGGATGATGACAGATTTGACAACTGCATCGCGTTCACCAATCTTCATGGAGATGCACGAGAACATGTGCAGCAAGTCAAATTTTTACTGGCGATCGCTTCTGTCAATGTAGTTCTTTTGTCAGACACTGACCAGAATGAAACAGGCAAGAAACTTCTGCAAGAATTGCTGAAGTCTCCCAAACCTTTCATCTTCCTGTGTGTTGACAAAGAGAGAATCTCAGCAAACAGACAAGAAAACCGAGTAAAAATTGCTGTCAAGAACCGTAATGAGGCCGAATTAATAGACGAGCTGACGGACAGAATTAAACATGCTCTAGCAATGTCAAATACCAATTACAGTCTTAACACATGTGCTGAGATTGCTCGCCATCATGGATTCCTCGTTGATGAAGATAACCTGGAATGCAGGGAAGGAAAGTCACTGGCACAGAGAGTAATAAGCAGTTTGAAGGCAAAAAAGTTAGTAGAGGCCAAGGACAAATTCTTGCCTCTCCAAGGAGAATTATGGCACAACTGGTGTAAAAAGGACAAAGAACTCACCCGTTTGCATGAGAGTGAAAACATGGGCATTGAACAGCACAAAAGCCAAACCGAATCAGAAAAACGAAAGCTACGGCGTAAACAGTTCAGGACAGCATTTCCCCTCAACAAATTAATGAGGTCAATGCTCGACAATCTCAGGATAAAGTCAGAGACAACTAAAATGTACTTCTTGCAGTGGCTGAAAATATTTATGGATGACTTGTCTTCTGACCACCTTGCCGAACTACACCAACAATACCACAAGTTGTGGTCACAAATGCTGGAAAAAAGAAACTCAAGAGGTAATGAATTGGAAACAAAATTGGAAAAACTATCTAATGAGATCAATGGATCTTCCTTGGGCCTTGAACACATGCTGAGAGAAGTGGGTCAGATTTATGAAACACTGGACGCAGTGAACCAAAAGGACAAAGATTTTGCCACTCTGCCCCAAATTGCAGCCGAGCTGATGATTTCAGGGCATCCCATTGAGCTAATGGACGGCGATGCTTCGTATGTGCCACTGAAATGGATCGGAGCCATCTTTGACAAATTGACTGAGAAGTTGGGTGACCAAAAAGTCTTTGTCCTTTCAGTGCTGGGCATCCAGAGCACTGGGAAGTCAACCTTACTCAACACCATGTTTGGTCTCCAGTTCAACGTCAGTGCTGGGAGGTGCACCAGGGGGGCTTTTATGCACCTCCTGAAGGTGGAGGAAGAATTCAGACAGAAGCTGAACTTTGACTTTATGTTGATTATTGATACAGAAGGTCTCCGGGCTATAGAGCTAGCAAGCCGAGCGACTCTTGATCATGATAATATGCTAGCCACTTTTGTCATTGGTGTTGGCAACATGACAGTGATCAATATCTTTGGCGAGAACCCTTCGGAAATGCAAGATATCCTGCAGATTGCTGTCCAGGCATTTCTGAGGATGAAGCAGGTCAAACTCTCCCCAAGTTGCTTGTTTGTGCACCAGAATGTTGGCGAAATAACGGCAAAGGAAAAAAATATGGAAGGGCGAAGACGTCTCAAGCAAAAATTAGATGAAATGGCCGTTACTGCAGCCCAGCAAGAGTTCTGTGAGGTCAGCTGCTTTAGTGACGTTATCCGATTTGATGTCAACACCCACATCCATTACTTTGCTCACCTCTGGGAAGGGGACCCACCGATGGCACCGCCCAACCCCAGCTATAGCCAAAACGTGCAGGAACTAAAGAGAAAGATTCTCATGACTGCCAAAGAGAACGCCCAGGGCAGTGTGTTGAGTATGTTGGAACTGAAAATCCGCATTCAGGACTTGTGGAAGGGTTTGGTAAATGAAAATTTTGTTTTCAGTTTTAAGAACACGCTGGAGATTGCAGCCTACCACCGGCTGGAAGTAGAGTATAGTAAGTGGACCTGGGCGTTAAGAAGCCACATGCTTGATTTGCAGAACAAGCTCAGCAATCGAATTAGAAATGAAGAACTTTCCAGGATAGACAGTGGATTTCTTGAGAAGCCAATTGATGAAAAATACACGGAGGTCACAAAGGACCTGGAAAAATACTTTAGTGAAGATAAAGACAGCAAGATATTGATTCAATGGAAAACAAATTTTGAAATCCGACTGAAACTATTTAAACAAGAGCTGGTTGACAAAGCTAATCGAAAAAGCCAAGAGCTTATTTGTCTAAAAAATCACCAAAGCGGTTTAGAAAGAAAGAGGTCAATGTATAAAGATGACATGCTTAGAAGAAGCAAGGAGTTAGCTCTAAAATATAGAGACAAGAAGCTAAGCGAACATGAACTTAAAAATAACTTTCTGTGTACATGGAAGAACTGGGTGGAAGAGGTATGTTCTACTGTCCCAATGGCTGAGGAACCTGCTTTTGGTACTGATGTGGAGAAGTTCCTAACTAGTTATTTTTCATCCGCAAAGGATTTACTAAAGAGGATTGAAAAATTCTCGAAATGTGACACTTTTCATATTGAGCCTACTCATCTTATCAGAAAGAAAAAAAGCATTTGGCAACTGAAGGCATCGAATGAAGAAATTGATAAGCCGACATTAAATACATTGAATGGGGTAACTCAGACTATAACAAAGCTAATAAATCAATACATAGAGGAAAAGCAACCAGAGATAATGAATTACAGCTCCAGTTACTTTCATGAGATTGTGAATAAAGTAAATCAAGCTATAGACGTTGAGCCTAAGGATGAAAATTTTACTATAACACCTGACTACAGAACAGATGTCTCCTTATATCTCTGCCAAATGGCAGCGAAGAGGTTTAAAGAGATGTACAAAGAATTCCAGGTAACCAATCACCCACAGAGGTATCTTGAACACGAGAGAGAAGATTTCTTCAATTGTTTTAAGATTGCCTGCCAGGGAGCAACATCCACCACGACGTTTGCTAGTTTCTTATGCAACAAGCTGATTGAAGCGCTCCGCTGTGCAACGTATGACAAAACGGCCATTGACGTAGCGGGTGAAATGAGGTCGAACCACCCAGCCTTCAATCATTGACGTAGTAGATGAAATGAGGTCGAACCACCCAGCCTTCAATGGCAACAGAGCCAAACTAGAAACCCACATTCTAAAGTCTCTTGCCGAAGAGGAGAACTTTGAGAAGTATAAGGAATACATTCAGTGTCCCCGAGACTTTTTTGAAAATTTTATGAAACAGAGTGTGGCTAATTATTTAGATAAAGAAAAAGCTAAACTTTTACATTTCTTAAACAGTCGTCTTCGTGTTTTCTGCACTTCCATGCATACAGCTATCAGTGAGGCGACGCAAGTTGTGAGAGACAAAAATGGCAGTGCTTCCTTATGGTTGGATGAATTTTGCAAAAGCCTTCAAGGTGACTTACATTTTCCCCGAAAGGAGCTAAAAAGCATTGAACACCAGGAGATAAAAGACATAGAGTTTCTTAAAAAAAGTATGGTTGAGGCCTTGAATTCTGTAGAAGAACATCTGAAACAGGACTTTGCCACAAATGTAGAACTATTTAAATCGAAACCTCATGAGATCCTGTTTGAGCAGCTCTGTGGATGCTGGGAGACATGTCCATTTTGCAAGGCTGTTTGCACAAACACACTTCCTGGCCACGATGGAGACCACAGTGTTGCCTTCCATCGTCCTCAAGCTGTGACCGGCATCCAATGGCACAAAACAAACCATCTCATTATCGACATCTGCTCCAGTCTGGTAGCTAGTGACTGCCGTTTGGTACTTAGCGGGGAAAGGAAAATTCCATACAAGAATTATCGACAAGCCGGTCCGGCGCATGCCAAATGGAGCATCACCCCAGACAACTCAGCACAGTCTTACTGGAAATGGTTTGTGTGCCATTTCCGCTCTCAGATAGAAGAAGAATATTCCGGAAAATTTGAGGGGAAAGGACAAATCCCCTCTTCCTGGGAAGAATTTACAAAGGAGATCGTCCTCTCTGACCTGGACGAGCTCTAGTCTTTTATTCACCGACAGGCTGAGCAAGGTTGATGGTTTTCCCTATCATCTGCTGCAGGGTATTTTCAAATATGGCGGTTGTTGGTTTTGCTATTAGTTTTGCTTCAAGGCTTGGTCCTATCTCCATTAGTTTGGGTCCCTCACCTCGGGACTCTGTGTTTGTCCACTCAGTCCCCCCTCCCCTCCAAACAGGGCCCCTCCTGACTCCACACATGCTCGGTCCAGTCCTTGTTCTCTCCTTTGTCTCTCCTCCTCTCCTGAGTCCCCGAATCCTTCCAATTTCCCCTGCTGCTGGGGGAGGGGCAGCAGGGTTTTGTGTGTCCTCCATTTTGTTTTCCTCTTTAAGATGGCTGCCAGCCTCCTGGTCACCATCTCCTGTCAGAAAAGAGCGGGAGAAAGAGGACAGGCGGGAAAGAGAAAAGGCGGGAAAAATGGGTCACATGACCCTAATCTGCCCGGTAACCAGAGGGCTCTTAAGGGGAGTTCACCCGCCCCTCTG